GCCCTCCGTAGACGCCGAGCGGTTTGCAGGCGCGTTTGTGCTCGTCTGTGAGGCGGGGGCGGGGCAGAGGGGCGCCTGCAAGCCGCGCCGGAAGCTTCACTGGGAAGGTGTCACCCTTTGGGGACGTTAGGGCTGAGAAGGGGCTCCACAGGCTCGGGAAGCTCAGGGTCGTGTAGCAACCACCCAGGCCATGAGCGTGGATTCTGGAATTAGGCAAATCTGGATTCAAGTATGGGCTCTGCCCCTGGGCAGTACTTCACCCCACAGAGCCCCAGTAGATAACATGGAGATAACAAGACCTACCTGAAAGGGTGTTGTAAAGATCAAAGGACTAAATGTCATGTAAAGTAAATCTGAGCACAGGGCCAGGCACGTCTGCTCAGTGTCAGTGTGTTTGGGGCACTGTTACTGTTCTGATGCCCAGGTGGGCTGGGCCGGGGCTGGGCTCTGACCTTCTCCCAGGTAACGTCAGCCAAGGCCTGGGACAGCTCGCACTCAAAGGTGGCTGTGTCGCCCTCGGTCACCTCTAGGTCCTGTGGCACCTGCACAAAGGTCACTGGGGCCTCTGGGGGTGGGAAGAAGACAGTGCAGAGGGAGCGGGGATGGGCAGGATGAGAACCCGCGTCGCAGGGACAAGGGGACACACGCAGGCGCAGGGGGTCGGCGGTGGGCACATTCAGGCAAGGGGATCAGTGGAGGTCACTAGTGAGTGGGGGATGCTGGTCAGTGGAGGACACTGCAGTTATGGGGGCAATAGGCCAGGAGTGGTCAGCTGGCAGTCACACTCCAAGGTGGCCAGCGTGGGACATGCTGGTGCTACAGGGGCATGGGGGCAACCAGAGCAGAGATGCCGGTGGAGTCCCCCGTTGACAGGCATGTGGGGGCCACATTTGGCTGGAATGAACAGGAGGCACTGGACAGTAGGGGACACAATAGATTCAGAGCAGCAATGGGGGGGACCCTAGAACAAGTGTGGTCAGTGGGGAATACACTAGGCTAGAGGCGAAAATGGGGACACTGAAGCAGAATCGCTAGTGGATGCGTCCTTAGGCAGGCACAGGATCACTGGGACTTGAGCGGTTAGAAGGGCACAATCCTCAGGTAGGCAGACGGGCACAGCAGGCAGGTGTGATCACACTCAGAGTGGTCAGTGGGGCAGTGGTCAGGCAGGCAGACAATAGGGGGCCGCACTGGCACAGGCATGCTCACAGGGGCACAGTCAGTGGTTTGCAGGGACTGGAGGGCCAGTGGAGCCACACTGGATCATACTGGTCAGAGGAGCCACACTCAGGCAGGGCAGTCACTGGGGCTACACAGGGCCAAAGGGTCAGAGGAGTCACACTCTGGCAGAGAGGTCAGTGGGGGCCACACAGGTAGTGGGATCAGTAGAGTCACACCCAGCGTGGTCAGCAGGCAGGCGGTGGTCCCGGGGGCCGCACCTCTCACAGTGAGTCTGGCTGCACAGCGCAGGGAGTCCACGGTGAAGGAGATGCAGCCTGAGTCGGCCAGGCCCAGGCCACTGAGTACCAGGTGGTGAGTGCAGCCCTCTGTGTGAATGTGGCACTGGGGCCCCGGGTGCAGCCGGACTCCACCGCGGGCCCATTCCCCCATCACACCCTCCTGGGACAGCTCCAGCTGGAAGGTGGCGCTGCCCCCCTCGATGATGGTCACATCCTCCAGAGGTCGCAGCACCCTTAGTTGCCTTGCTGGTGGGAAGGAGATGGGGAGAGGAGGAAGAAGAGGGCTCCAGCTCTGGGTGTGGGTTTTGGGGGGCTCACACACTCCTTGGCCCTACCTGCACCACCCTTAACACTCAACCTAGTAAGGGCTTATCAGATGAAGCTCAGAACCAGGAAGCAGGACGAAGGAAGCACAGTCCACCAGACTTGGGGGGAGAGAGGAGCTTACTGGGGTTAGGAGAGGGGGCACACAAAGGGGGTGAGGTGTGGTTAGAGGGTTGAGGAGTCCAGGTGAGGGTGCTGTGACCCTCACCCAGAAGGAGCACAGAATTGGGAGTCAGATATACCAAGATTGGACCCTAGCTCTGCCACATAGTTTGTGTACTGTGTGACCTTTGACAAACTGCTTGACCTCTCTGGGCCTTAGTTTCCCTAATTATACAAAGTGAATACATTGAGACATGGGTCATTGTGATTAAATGAATGAAATAAATGAGAGTATGTATCACCAACAAGAACCATTTACTAAGCTCTGTGTGGGCATTTTTCATGTTATCTCATTTAACATTCCCAAAGACTCTTGAAGTAGGGATCAACCTCATTTTTAAGAAAACTCGGCTCAGAGTGATTAAGTAATTTGCATGAGGTCACAGTTAACAGAGGGCTCCAGCTTGGGGCGTGGGGGTGCTATTTGCCGGCCATCCCTGCTTCTGAGATGGGCCAGTGTATCCTGGGTTATGTGAATAAAGGGTAAACACCAGGGTCTTTCTGTAGGATAATATTTATGTTTACAGCAAAGCCAACTCAGACATATGGAATAAATTGCAAAATCCACATGGACATAAGGTAAATAGAAAGCTTTAGAAAAAGTCTTGTTTTGGACAGACCACTTCAGGTCACACTCCTGGAGGTCAGTCAGAGATGACTGGCCTCAGTGGCAAGGGGCACTTTGGTGGGGTTCTCAGGGGCCCTGGGCCAGCCAGGAAAGGCTGTGCCACAGGGCGGGGAATTAGTTAGTAGAGGACGGGCCACTCACGCCTTACGCTGAGCCTGGCCAGGGTGCGATCGTGGTGGCTCTCGCAGCCGTAGGTGCCCTGGTCAGCCAGCACAACTCCATGGATGAAGAGGCGGCAGACATGGCCATGCTGGGCCACAGACAGGCGAGGGTCCTGGGGTAGGGGCTCCCCACCTCGAAGCCAGCGCACGGCGCCTGCTGCACCCACTCTGCCTGTCTCCACTTCCAGGCAGGCGTCCTGGCCTTCCTCCACCCGCACATCCTGCAGCCGCCGAAGGAAAAGCAGCTCCGTTTCTGGGGAGGAAGGGGGAGGTGGTCATGGAGCCTGGAGGGGCCTGGAGGCTGACCCCGTTCCATCTCACTGGTTTGTCACTGGGCACAAGGGCAAGGCTGCTAGGGCCGGGGCTGGGAGGATAGGTACAAGAAACAAGACCATTGCGTCCCCATCAGGAACAAACCTCGAATGTGGAGCCGGGCACTTGTTGCTGTGCCCCCTGCTTGGGCAGTCATGATCCCCGCGTCCTTCAGCTGGCACCCTCGCACGGTCAGTGTGCGGCTTGACCCATTCTGGCCCACCTCTAGCCCAGGTCCTGGAGTGACAGTGGCCCCATTGTGCAGCCAGGTGACATCGGCATCTGGAGGGGAGACTTCACACCGGAACGTGGCGTCATCACCCTCATGGACAGTTAGTGGCGTCAGCTCCGAGAGCAGCTTCACCAGCGGAGGTTCTGGCGGAGGGTGGTCAGGCAGTGAGGCCGGCTGGGTCTTTCCCCTCCCCTCCTTTTCATCCCCTCCAGAGGGTAGAGGCCTCCCCCCAGTTATTTAACAGACCTCCTGAGGCCTACTGTGTGTCAACCACAGGAATGTCCCAAAGGACAGATGCTAACTCCCTGCCACTCTTGGCCAAGTCCTCTCAACCCTGGCCTAGTACCCTACCTCTCTGACTCCCTAATAATAATAAATCATTTATCATGGACCCTATTTATCTCATTTAACTGTCACAATAGCCCTGTAAGACGAGCACTATCCCCCTTCCCCCAACTTCGGAGCTGGGACTCAGAGAAGTTAGGCAACTCGCCAGTGTCACACAGCTGCTGGGAAGCAGAATGCAGATTGGACCTGGGAGGGTCACTCCAGAGCCCCAGCTTTTAACCACTGGGCTATGCCTCTTCCTAACTGAGGGCTTCTGGGCAAGGGGGCCTAGGGCAGGAATGGGTGGAGCCAGAGGCAATGAGGTGGGGGTGGGGGCCAAGGAGATCCCAGAATGGTGTATGTGGGGTGGGCCTTGGTGGGCCAGGGCCCAAAGGCTGTGAGCGGTGCACTGTTACCTTCCACGCTGACAAGGAAGACGCGGCTGCCCTGGGGTGCGTCGCACAGGTACTCCCCAGCGTCTCTGCTCCGTGCCCCCCGCACCCGCAGCACCTGCCTTGCCCCGGCCTGCTCCAGCTGCACCCGCCCCTGGCTGGCCAGCCGCTCCCCGTCCTTGTACCAGCGCACAGCACCCCCAGGCCCGGAGAGGTGCACCACCAGCTCTAGGTCCCTGCCTGGGGTGCTGCGAACTCTTGTCTGGGCCGCCTCTGGGGCCACCACCCGCACGGGAGGCTCTGTCGGGGCAGAGCTTCAGGTCACTGGGAGGAAGTGGCTCAAGGGCTATACGGAGGGTAGTGGGAGGCAAGATGGGGATAGGTCCTGAGAGGCGTGGGACAAGGAGTGGACAAGGCCTGCTGGGGAATTGGGGAAATGCATGGGTTCCTGCCCAGTCTGTACTCACCAGCCACTTGGACAGTGAAACTGAGGCAGGGGGCTCCTGGGGCCTCCCCGGCCTGACAAGTGTAGAGGCCTGCATGGGCTGGCTCTGCAGCCTGGATGCAGAGGACGCGGCGAGGGCCCTCAGTGTGGAGCTCCAGGCCCTCACCCTCCTGCACCGGCTTCCCGTTGTGGCTCCAGAAGACAAGGGCGCCAGCCCGGGACAGTTCACAGCTCAGCATCACAGGTTCCCCGGGGGCCACACAGAGCGGGCTGGGGGCTGCCTCTGGGGCAAGGAACTGGACTGGGGGCTCTGGACACAGAGAGGAGGGGATCAGCTTGGGCTTGCTTCCACCTCCCCAACCCAGGCTGGCCAGGAACACCCACCAGCCAGGCTGACATTGAAGGTGACAGCTTCATCACGGGTCTCACACACATACTCCCCGGCATCCTCGGGCTGGGCGTGGGGCAGGGTCAGGGTGCGAGCAGGCCCCTCAGCACCCAACTGCAGGGCGTCTGATGCTTCCACCTCCAGCCCATCTTTGTACCAGCGCACCTGGGACCCAGCAGGGGCCACCTCGCAGCGCAGCTCCACGCGCCCTGGAGCCCCAAACTGCAGGTCCAGGGAGCGGGCTGCCGGGCGCACGATCCTCTCTGGTGGGGCTGGTGGGTGGACAGAGAGAGGCCACTCGGGCTCAGCCTCACCTACTAGCTTTTCAACCATATCCCTTCATAGTGCAGCTCTTGGGAACGGGACCAGCTACAATCATAGGCACCTACTGTGCGCCAGGTGCTGTGCTAAACACACTGCATCTCCTTTTTCTGCTACTCCTGACACTAGCGGGGTACTGCTGCTGGCTTCATTTTACAGATGAGGACCTGAAGCCTCTTCGGAAGGAAGGAACTCATCCAAGGTCACATGGACAGAAAGAGGTAACCCAGATCTGTCTGACCCCAATGCATGCCCCTCCTACCCCACCCCCTCTTTCTATCCACTTTCCCTGCTTTGCCTCTAATGCACTTATACCACCTGAAAAACCATCTATTTTACTTCTCTGTTGTCTGTCCATCCTCACTAGATTGCATGCTCCCTGAAGACAGGAGGTTTTCTCCTACTGGTCCATTACTGTACCCATCAGCATCTAGAACGGTGCTGAGCACACAGTAGTTGTTGAATAAGTGTCGGTTGACTGACTGAATGAGCACTCCTGATTGCTAGGCTCCCTACCAGGCCCCTGGTCACTGTCCTGGCCTTATGTGCACCATCTAGGCTCTCTGATGGCTCAGAATGAGGAGGCTGGAGAGGGGGAGGCTGTCTGGGGTGAGAGGGAGCCCTAAGATGCAGGAAGTCGGAGGTCTGGGTGTCTGTCCCTCAACCTCCTACCTTTCTAGCTCTCCAGTGTGCCCCAGAGACTGCCCACCTGTGACGGTGACAGTGAAGAAGGCCGAGTCATCTCCAGCGTCGCACACGAACTCGCCCCCGTCCCCAGGCTGGGCAGCAGGCAGCACCAAGCGGCGGCAGGGCCCGTCACTCTCGAGCACCAGGGCCTCACTCTCCTCCACCTCCAGACCATCCTTGTACCAGCGCACCGGGGCATCCTCCCGAGAGAGCTCACACATTAGCACCACACACTCCAAGCTCACGGCGATCAAGGTCACCTCATCCCGGGGATATATGATGCGTACGGGGGGCTCTGCAGAGTGGGGGCAACCACAGGCTGTTACAAACTCACTGCCAGCCTCCCTGGAGCCACCTGGCGGCATGAAGTCCCTGTCACCCACAATAATAAGAGTGAATCACAGGTCCGCAATCTGTTCTCTGAAACCCCTGGGGCCAGAAGTGTGGCAGAATCCGGCATGCTCCAGATTGCAGAAGTGGTACATTTATCACATGTCACCTACCTACCCCCTTGGCCTGCACTGGGGCACCCCCATAACCATTCACATTAACATTTCTTTAGCGTAACATACATACATAGATGTAGTCACTCTAAGCAGAATAATTAAGGAGTGCAAACAGCTTCGCAGCAATTAAGCTCAGGTTTTACTAAAATGACTGAGTACTAAACTTATAGAGCCTTTTGGTTTTGAGAGATGTTTGGATTTCAGAATTGTGGGTAAGGGGTCATGGATCTGTAATAGCAAATACTAATATACCACTTTCTAAGGTTCCAGGAACAGTCCTGAGCACTTTACACATTTAACCCTCACAGAGGTAATTGTTTTATCCCAGTTTTCCAGATGAGGAAACTGAGGCGCAGTGGTTGAGCAACTTCCTTAAGGTCACAGCTGGCTACACCTACTCTAGGGCAGGAGGAAGGACTACCGTCTGTGAAAGGGAGGCTCAGACCCTGCAAGCAGTGGTAGGGATTCTGAGACAAGGCTTGCAGGAGCTCTAATGATTTTTGCATCTGTGCATGAGTTGCCAGCACCTGTCTGAGAGGTCCCCAGGGACACTAAACGCCGATCCTGGGAGTTCATCTCCAACTGCTCAAAGGTGGTTACTCCTCCATAGAGAGAAAACTATGTCAACATTGGAGGTGGCAATGCACTGAGCCAGGGCCTGCCCACATTCCCCCACCCCCCGGGGGTCTCCCAGAATCTTGTCTCCAGGACACTTGAGTGCTCCTTTAGCATTCGGCCCCCTTGTGGCTGGACTGGGGAACTGCTATCTTCACGGTCTCAGTTTTTGCAGGGGCGCGGGCATGGGCAGAGGTGCCCACCAGCACACACTCAGCCCTCTGCCTCTGCCAACCACTTTCCTAGCTGGGCTTATTCTGAGTCTAGAAGATGCAGGCAGATTACTGGGGCCGAGCAAGGCCAGTTGATTGCAGAGCGAGGCTGCCTGAGGGGTGGAGGAGGGTATGGAGGCAGTGGGGTGAGGACTGGGTGGAGCAATGGGGCTGGGGTGCCTGCACTGCTGCGGTACTTCAGCTTGGCACCAGACTTGATTCTCCCTAGTCCACAGCCGAGGTGGTGTGTGAATTTCCCTGTGAAGAATCTGGTGTTTTGTGGGGTGGCCAAATGTGCACTGGCATGTGTGGGGCTGCGGCCATTCTATCCGGCCAGGGCCCGGGGCAGGAGAGCTTGAAGGGACTCACTATGGGACAGATGTGCAGAAAGGTCTCTGGCTTTGGGGGCTTGCATGTGCCAAGCTGCACTATTTGGATGCACGGGGTGGGGGGCCCTAAGCAGCTCAGCCTAGGCTGAGGCATTATTCCTAGGGCAGGGCAGGGGAGGGGGCGCCAAGATTGTGTCACCTGCAGGATGGTCACTCCAGTGCTGCCAGTGGGGTTCTTCTGTGCCATCCAGAGCTGCCTAGGCCCTACCACCCCCTCCCCTCCTGACACCTCCACACCCCCACACCTCTACAAGGGACTGATGTCATGGGCTGCAGCCCCAAAGCTCCCAGGACTGAATGGCCATCACTTCCATAGTTGTCCTGTGCTTTTCCCACTCTGAACATTCTCCTACCTTCAGGCCAAACCCCAGCTCCCACTTAGCAAACTCAGAAGTATCCACTTTGAAGGCACTTCTTGTGGACGAGCTGGCTAAGAGACCCCAGCCTTGGGCTTCCACCGCTTCCTATCTCGACACTTGACAACCCACACTCTAAGACCCTTGACAGCAAACTCCTGGAGGGAGGGGACGTGTCTGCCTGCAAGCTGTTGAGCATCCAGAGCCCAGCCCAGGGAAGCATGGTGACTTTCTCCGAGGCCCTCCCTGACCCCCTTGCTCCACTCTCTGAACCCTCTGCCCTCGTCCCTCACAGCATTTGTCACGAGGTATCACTGTACATTTATTTGCACGTTTATTGATTTTAACACAGGGGTCGCAAACTCAAAGGCCCCCAGGGGCCAGGTAGGTAAAGTCAGTGGCTGATGTGGTCTGGGGAGAAGGGGGGGTGGGACTGGAATGTGGGCCCCGCATATTGGGGGCAGCTGCTACTCAGCGCCAGCTGTTCGTCGCCATGGGGGGAAGCGGGACCAGAGCCGCCGGGTCTTCGGCTTTTTCAAGAGGACGCATAACTCCGGATTGTTATTTGAACTGTCCTGACTTTGGTAAGACTCTGCAGGCCAAACGAAACACATCTGTGGGCTGCATGGGGCACTAGGGACTGTCCATTTGCGACCCCTGGTTAAGAGGGGCTGCCCCACTAGACTAGCAGCTCTCTGAGAACTGGGGGTGGGTCTGAGCTGCACGCCAGCTACCCACAGCACCCAGCCCCACCTGGCACAAAGCAAGTGCTCAGTAAATGAGTCTGTGGACCACAGCTATTCCTTTCTGGCCTTGGGGGTGAGGTGGGGGTGGGGGTGAGGAGAGCCTGTTCACTGGAATAAGGGCCCTAGGCTCTTCTGGGCAGGGAGCCCTGGTACATACATCTACAGTGCCTCCACCCCCACCCCCCAGTATGCTAGCTAGGGGCTATGTGGCCAATTTCTCCAAGGTCTCGAGACTGTCCTCTAGTGACCCCGGGCAGCTGGGGTGGGTCCACACCTGTGACAGTGACGGTGAAGGAGGCTGACTCATCATCAATCTCACACAGGTACTCGCCGGAGTCCTCGAGCTGGACAGCAGGCAGCACCAGGCGGCGGATGGTGTCCTCCTTCTGCAGGAGCAGCGCCGGACTCTCCACCACCTCCTCACCATCCTTGGTCCAGCGCACCTCGGCCCAGGGCCGGCACAGCTCACAGGTAAGCACCACACGCTCCAGGCGCACAGCCGCCACATACACCTTGCCGCTGGGGTACACGATCCACGAGGAGACGTCTGGAGGACAGGGACAGCGTGGCCGGGTGTCAGGGGCTGGGGCTGATGGGCCCTGCTGCCCTGCCTGACCGAAGCCTGTTCCATCCTCCTGCAAAGCATGCCATATACTGAACAATAGGGCCCTCCCTCAGACTGTACCTCAGGGCCACTCAGTCACTCAGCTGGAGACAAAACCAGTCACCAAAGCACATCACAGGCACGGGGGCGGGGGGGGGCAGCCTCAGCAGTAGGACATTCCACATTCTCTAGGTTGTGGCAGGGATGGTATGAAGGATGGGACCTGGGAAAGGAGGGCTGGGTGCCCAGATGGAGCTGGGGTCTCCTGAAGGCCTCAGATCTTCTGACCTCTCTAATGCCCACCTGCCCTAAACCCTGCCCTATGGTGCCACTGCCTTCCCTCAAGTTCCCCTTGGAGGGAGGGGTCTTCAGGAGAATGGAGAAGGCAGGGCTCCCTGTGACTCATGCAGCAGCGACCAGCCTATCTGACAATGAATTTCCTGCCATGACTGAACCTCAGGGTGCAGGTCATGGGTAGGGGTGTGAGCAGCTGGAGGAAGGGGTGGGGAACACCTTCCCGTGGCATGGGCCTGCCTGGACCCACCTGTGATGGTAACGGTGAAGTAGGCGCGCTCATCTCCAGCAACGCACTGAAACTCGCCCCCATCAGAGGGCTGGGCGGCGGGCAGCACCAGGCGGTGATGGGGTCCCTCGCTCTCCAGCACCATGATGTCGCTCTCCTCCACCTCCTGCCCATCCCTGTACCAGTGCACCAGGGCGTCCTCTCGGTCCACCTCACACGTCAGCATGACACACTCAGAGGTTATGGCGTGCACAAACACATGCTCCCGCGGGTCCAGGATGTGCACTGGGGGGTCTGGGTGGGAGCAGAGACAGGGTCACACAGACGCTCCCCAACGTAGGAGACATGAGTCCGTACTGGCTGCTTGACCGTGAGTCTTCTTTCTGGAGAACACTGGGAAGGTTAAGGCCATGCTGTGCAGGGGGTTCTGGGGTAAGGACATGAGGCATGACAGATCACGTGACACCAGAATGCTATGTGAGTCCCCAGAAGATCAGAGGTCACCACCAGGTGGGACAAGGAGGGAGGGAGGCACAGAGAGCCTTTGTCTAGGCTGAGAGGAGTCACTATCACAGGCTGCATCAGGGCCAGGCTTGCTGCTGCTTTTACAACGAAGCCTCTGGTGCACTGGTCCCTGGTGGGGCAGGAGGTGGGAAGGACCCAGGGGTGCCACAGTGGGACAGCTTCTCCCTACAGGTAGTGAGTTCCCTGTCACTGGGTGCATCCAGGCAAGGGCTAGGGGACCTCCTGGCAATGGAGTTGAAACAGGATTTCCACTTAAAAGTGAGAAGACGAGCTGGATGAGTGGTTCTGTGGGCTCTGTCCTATGTATTCTAGCTCTGGTGGTCTCGGAGACTGGGCATACGCACTACAAGCTTCCAGGACAGTTCCAAAGCAGCCAGAACGCGGACTAGCTTCTGAGAACCACTGGGCCACTGCACTTAATACTTCCCTTTGACCCTGCCGCCTGCGACAGTGGGATAAGCAGTCCTGTGTGTGAACCCAGCTGGGTGTTTGCTGTGTGATAATGGGCAAATCACATAACCTCTCTGAGCCTGTTTCCTCATCTGTGAACTGGAGATAGGCTGTCTTTCAGCTAGCTGTGAAGGTTCAATCAAAGCCTATACCTGACGTATCTAGCACAGTACTTGGCTAGTAGATGTCCAATAAATGTTAGCTCCCACTCTCCTTCCCTTAGCTGAATTTCATTCCCCACACCCAAACCCAGAAAAGGGTATGTAGTGGGCAAGTGCGCTGGAGGGTGTTGGTGCGTGGGTGGTTCAGGAGCAAGTGCAGAGTGATCTGAAAACACATCCCCTGGCCCACCAGGACCTGCCTGGAAGGGACCCCCCAAACAGGCAGACCAGGGGGCAGGGCTTGCATGCCCCCCAGAGTCAGCCTCAGCTGGAGGAACCCAGGCCTCCATGGTTCCTGACCTCGGACGGTGATGCTGAAGAAGGCTGAGACCCCTTCCGTTCTGCACTCAAACTCGCCGCTGTCCCGGACTTCGGCAGCGGGCAGGATCAGACGGTGTTTGCGCCCATCCAGCTTCACCACCAGCGACTCACTCTCCTCCACCTTCTGCCCATCCTTGTACCAGGTTGCCGGGAAATCCACCCGGGAGAGCTCACATGTCAGCACCACCCGCTCCGAGGTCGTGAAGTTCAACGACACTTTGTCCTGGGGGCTCAAGATGTGCACCGGGCTCTCTGTGTAAGGAGGAACTTGGTTACATCCAGGCCCTGGCTGCGCTCTGCATGGGATAAGCACTCCCTCCCCCTGGTGCATGTGCTCAGTGTAGGGGGGTGTGAACATCAGGCCACACAACTTCTGTTCACACATTTGTTAGAGTTTTAAAACACAGGTTTGGGCTTACACACTAATTCGTAAGAGCAGCGGTTTTAGTGTGCATAAGGATTTCTAGGGAGCCTGCTAAAATGCACATCCTTAGACACCGCCTCCCCAGTCATACAAGGGCCAGGGATCTGCATTATAACCCAGCCTTCCAGGTGACGCTGATGTTGATCCTGGGTCACATTTTGGAAATGCTGCTCTGGCTGCTAGTTATTTCTTACTTTGCCCTCTTCCTGGGATGCTGGAAGCCAACCTCAAATAATTAGGACCTCAGGGCCCTGTGTTTGGGTGCTGAGGAATTCCTTGACAGGCCTTACAATCTGCAGCAAATGCCAGCATGTTCCCTGACCTTTCAGTCCCCCACCAGCTGTCCTCCTCAGGCACCTCATTCCCTCTCCTTCTGTGTCTCCACAAGTGACAGAGTGCAATGCTGGAGCCAGACTGTCTGGGTCCACAGTCCAGCACCACCACTCATTAGCTCTGTGACTTTCTTTGACAAAGTCACTTAACCTCACTGTGCCTCAGTTTCTCCATCTGTAAAATGGGATGATAGAAGAACCTACCTTCTAGGGCTATTGAGAGCGTTGTGTTAATTGATATGTGTAAAGTAATTAGGACTGTGCCTAGCACATAGGAAGGGCTATGACAGTGTTGGTATTTATAGGATAGGGCAGGAAGCTAGGGGCCTAGGGGCCAGGGTCCGTGTCTCTGTGATGACAAATATGACAGAATTCTGTAAACTACAAAGTGCTTCAGAGAATTTGGATATGATACTGATGAATTAACGAGGGGTCTCCTGTATGTTCACTGCATGTGGGTTCTGGACCAGAGTCCTCCATCTGAGCCCACTGCTCCTCACTCTCCTGGCCCAGATGTGAGAAGTGGAAACAGCATCTGCTTCATTTTGCCAACAGGACTTGTGTCTTGGTCCTACCTGCCCACCCTGGTCCCCACCAGCACCAACCTTGGATGGTGAGGGCAGCCGAATCCTGCACACCTGGGCAGCTGAAGCCGACCAGGGCCCCACTGTCCTGGTGCTTGACGGCTTGCAGGATGAGTCGGTGCTGCAGCTCACTGTGCTCCACACAGTACCGCAGGGCCCCAGGCTCCACCTGGCCCTCCGGCTCGGTACTCTTGAGTTCCTCCCCGTTAAGGAACCAGGTGCCCTGGATGATGGTGGAGAGAACGAGGGAGAAGACAGCATCTTCCCCGTCGTATACCTGCACGTCCTTCAGACCTGCCACTAGGCGAGCTGTGGGCACTGAGACGGGGAGAGAGTGCAGCCATCAGAACCAGAGGGGTGACAGAGGGCAGCAGTTTGCAGGTGGAAGGCATTTAAGAAGACAGGGACTGACTGCTGCAAAGGAAGGAGGGGGTGTGACGTGGGGTAGCTCTGCTGATGGGCAGGTCTGGCAGGACGGACTCACCGAGGTGAGCAGACCCGTGGAACACAACATGGGGACTGCGGCCGTGTTCGCTGACTGTGCAGATGCGGAAGCAGTAGTCTCCCTCGCAGGGCACACAGTCTCCTGGCACCTCCACAGCCCCAGCTTTCTCAATGCTGAAGCACTGAACCCAGTCTTCCGTGCCCACCTTCTGCCTCTCCAGCCGGTAGATGAAGGGGGTCTCGGGAGCTGGCTCGGGAGGCTTCCAGGTCAGCAGGACCATGTTCTTGCGGCCCTTGAACATCTCTGCCAACACCGGGGGTCCTGGAGGATTGTGCTTGACGCCTGAGACAAAGGCAGGGTTTGTATTGGAGCCCTGCCCCAGCCTCCCACTGCCCTTCGTCCTTAGGTCCACTTTGCCAACCCGGACACTGGCATCTGGTCACCCTCCTGCCCAGGCTCTCCTGTCCAGCCCTTGAGGAGTCTGACCAAGGGCTTTCACACCCTCACATTTGACTCTCAGGAGAGTGGTGGTACACGAGTTGCCCAGGCTAAATGTGACTTCGCCAGCATCTTCTCGAGTCACCCCGGGAAGGACCAGGGCATGCATGTGGCCAGAGCTGGTCTGGCAGATGGCGGGTAGGTCCTCCCCGTCACGGCTCCAGCGCCCCTCGATGCCAGCCTCCCGCGTCTCCACCAGCAGCACCGCATTCTCGCCCTCCAGAACGTCGAGCTTCCGGGGCAGCCGCTTCAGGATAGGCCCTGAGATGCAGATGGGAGTCCATTAGCCCAGGGTCAGGGCACCTGTCTCAGCCTCGGCCTTGTCCTGCTGGCCAGCTGACCTTTGACTGTCACGTTGGCCACGGTGCGCACCCGGCCCCGCATCTCGCACAGGTAGACACCGTCATCATCGGCTTTCAGCCTATGGATGATGAGGCGCCTGACGGTGCCCTCCTCAATCTGTTCGTATTTGCGGCAAGGCAGCAGCCGTTGGTCCTCGCGGAACCAGGCTGTGGGAATGCGCGAGTTGGGTACTTTGCACTCCAGCACGGCAATCCCATGCTCCCGGCCCTCCACATCCTGCAAGGGCCTTGAGAAGCGGAGGCGGGGCTCTGTGGAGAAGAGAGACCAGAGAAGGCTCTGGAGAGGGCCAGGCTTGGAGAAGGCCAGACCAGGCAAGGGACTCCTCCTGGCTAGGTCAAATGCCTAAACCCATATTGCCTAAATGGCTCACACCGTTTGCATTGTGGGATCACAGATAAACCTCCAGAAGGGAAGTCAGAGGGCCTAAATTCTTGTCTGACCCTGACACTAACCACATCACCCTGAGCAAAGCGATTTTAGTGATCCTGGGTCTCAGTTTTCTTACCTGTAAAGTGGGGAAAGGGGATGGAAGGACTTGGATCACATCAGTGATTTTGAAACTATTCCCTGGGGCCCTTCGAAGGCACTACACACATTCTGCAAGGGTCTGAGTCAAATTTTCTTTTTAAAGTACTTTAAGCATTTTCAAAACTGCTGGAGAAGCGCATGTGTCATGCAGCTCTGGGAAGCTCTGCCTTCCCGCTGGGCTTTTTTAGCTCCCCTGGCCAGTGTGTGGCAGCGTACCCATGAGGTCACCACTGTGGCACAGGTGCCACATGCTTGAATTCATGCCAGGCAGGCTCAGGAGATTTGCCAACTTTTTTTTCCTCTGAGGGGAAAAGTTGGACAATAACTAGTGAAGGTATAATCCTCCAAGTTGTGATGGGTCCCTATTATGGAGAGCTGTAACTTCCAGGGTGAATTTGGGGTACTCTATGAGTACTTATTAGACATTGTTGCTGACTCAACTTTGAAGTACACATTTCTTCTGCTTCACCTTCCTCTTCTGGGAAACCTGGGGCAAGCAGTCTAATGAGAGAACGGTCAGAAATCGCAGGGCAGTTTTTCTAACTCAAGTGTACCTTTGGTGCGAATCAGTTGTTGCTCAGTGTGAGGCCTGCAGTCAGGCCTTCCCACAGGGCGCACAGAGCAGACCCGGTAATGACTGCAACCTCCTTTACACACTTAAAATGTGTGTGTTCCATGAACCAGTCCTCTCGCCCTCACTGATTGGCTTTGTAAATACATGTTATAAATCTGGACTTAGAAAGGCACAGCCATAACGTGACCCTTTTCTCCCTCTCACATGCTGGGGCTCTAGGTGGGATTTCCACCGGGGGAGGAGACGTTAAACAACAGGCTGAAAAACCACTGGACTAGAAGAATTTTAGGCCCCTCTCCGTTTGTAAATCCAAGGGAGGTTTTCTACCATCGGCCTCGGAATCACCTGGGGAGTTTGTTAACAAGTTCCTGGGTACCCTGGAGACCTACCAAATCCGAATGGGGCGGAGGGGTGGGAGGCCGCCTCCCCCCTCGCTCCCCTCCCCTCCC